ATGAAAAAATATTTCGGAAAATTTTGCTTAAAAGAACACACGCGGAGTTATAGATAACATATGAAAATTTAACTGACAATATATATTGTATAAAATGTTAGTATGTTCCGTAAATTTTACTCAATTTGTCTCTTTACAATCTATCAATTTTGATATTTTAGTTCGTTTCATAATAAAATATTTATTTTCTTTTTTAGTAATTGTATTATCTATCTAACATTATAAATATCATTTTAATTTATAATATATTACACAAATGTCATTATCTTTATATCACATAATATAAAAATCGTACAAATATTTTTATTATATTCTAATATAATACTAATATTTTTAAAACTACGTAAAAAAAATAAATAAAATAAATTGATGATAGATATAGGACAGAGGGAGTATTTTATATATTATTGTGCTATAAAAATCTCACTCCTTATCTTTATCTTTTTTTTTTCTTTTTTACTTTTTTTTTAGTTTTTACTTTCATACTCCCACTTTTTGTTGTAATTATGTTAATTTTTTCTTGTTTGTTTGTCATCGAATTTATTTATCCACAATATTATTATGGAGAAAAATTATTTTTAGTTCCAACATAATCAAAATTTATCAATTTTAGTCCAAATATAAAAATTTTATCAATTTTGGTCATAATATTATCAAAACTCATTATTTTTTATCTCAATATAACCAACACTCATCATTTTTTTGTCCCAATATAAAATTTTTATCAATTTTAGTCTCAATATAACCAAAATTCATCATTTTTTGTCCCAATATAATCAAACCTTATTTTTTTTCTCACCATCAACAAACCGACGAAAAATATTGACGTGAAAAGAAATCAAACCTTATATTTATATTCAAAGAAATTGCACAATCTTCCAAGTCCACGTCAGCATTTTTCGTAGGTTTGTTGACGGTAGGACCAAAAAAGATAAGGTTTGATTATATTGGGACAAAAAATGATGAGTTTTGGTTATATTAGAACTAAAATTGATAAAAAATTTATATTTGGAAAAAGAATGATGAATTTTGGTTATATGAGACAAAGAATGATGAATTTTGGTTATATTTGGACAAAAAATGATGAGTTCGAGTTATGTTGAGATCAAAATTAATAAGATTTTTATATTGAGATCAAAATTGATGAATTTTGATTATATTGTGACCTAAAATAATTTTTTCCATTTTATTATTTACTATTTAAAAAAATAATTAAATTTATTATTAATTATTTCATAAATTTTCTATAATATCTTTATTTTATTAGTTATTTACTATATTATAAAAGTAAAATATTATTACTCCCTCCGTTCCACATACCGTGTCTGCTACATTGTGTAGACACGGTATTTAGGAGATGTGTAATTATTAGATAATTAATAATGTATTAGTGAAAATAATTATCCTATAATATAAATAATTATAAATTAAGATTAAGATAACTAATTAGTTTAATTAAATTTTAAGAAAATAAATTAAAAAGTTTAAAATGAGATTAAAGTGCGTAATCATTTTCCAAAAAATGAAAGTGACATGAAATGTGGGACGGACAGAAACGGCAACGTGGACATGGTATGTGTGACGAAGGGAATATTTTTTAGTACATGTATCCGGACACTATGGCATAAATAGTTCAATTACTAAAACAATAAATAAATATTTTCTCATGTCACTGACCAAAATAGAAAAATAAATAAATTGCTAAGCGACAAAAAAAAAATATATATTTTAATTGATGTAATAATTCCAATCCTTTTTCGTTGGCCTTTTACTCATCAATTTGTATTTTACTTTGTCTTTTGCATCCTATTAGAGATTCACGTAGTCGATTTGTCTGGAAATCTACCTTTAATCCTTTCAATCAAGACTTTTAATCTTTTTCTTTTATTTTTTTACTCCTTCCGTCCCATATCAAATTATCTATTTTTTCATTTTAATCCGTCACATAATAAAATATTCATTTTTTAGTAATTGTATTATCTACTTAATATTACAAATATCCTTACAACTTACAATATATTACACAATTACACAAATGCCATTACCTTTATATCACACAATACTAATAATATTATTTTAGTAATTTCTACTTTATTAATACTAAATCTCAATATAATACTAATATTTCTAAATTTTACATATCTTTTTCATTTATTTTTATTTTTTATTTATTATCAATTTTACATTCCTTTTGTAAATGCATTAGTATCACTTGTAACTTTATTTATGTTTCTTCTGTTCAAAATCTCATGCTTTTCCTATTTGAATTTTATTTTTTTCGAAAAAAATATATTTTTATTTCTCACAAAACATCTCATCATATATTATTTTAATATTAAATTCAAATCATTTTTTTTTTCAGATTCTTCTAAAGAAACGTACCATTATAACAATAAAATTTTAAATTTAAATAATAATTGATATAATATAAATATATATTGATATAATATTTTAAATATAATACTCCTTAATTATATAAAAATAGTTTCATTTGATTTACATATGAATTTTAATATGATGTGTTAAAAAAAAACAAAAAATAAAAATAAAAATGGTATGATATTTACTAAAAGAGAATATACTATGTATAATTTTTTTATGACAAACAAATAAAAGAAGTAGACTTACTTTTTTTTTTTTATATATATATATATAATAAATGATATTAAAAATAAAAATTAAACTATTTAAAAAATACTTATAAAAGGTATAAAAAGTGAATTCAAAAACTACAAACAAAAAACAATTAAAAATATCATGGTAAAACAAAACATTTATAATATCAATCTATATATACATACATATATATAAATGTGAACACATCCAAAATAAATTATAATTTGTTTATTTGTGTCTTTAATCTAACAATTCAATAAGATAGTACTAAAAATTCTTAAAAGTTTTGAAATTTTTGAAGATTTTAGAAATAGTACTATAACTGGATATTTAATTCAATATTTTTTTGAAATGAAACATCACATAAACACCTATTTATATCACATTATACAACAATTCAAATTCAAAATTTTTACTATTTTAATATCAACTCAAAATCCAAATCTCCGTACAAATACACTCTAAAAAAAATATTATGTATGGATAATGCCGAATATTTCAAAATTAAAAATTGATTAAATAAATGCCTTTTTCAATCTCATTCTCAATCCAATCTATGCTTTATGAATTCTTCCACATGGTTGTTGAAGTGTTTTTTTCACACATGTATATTGAATATAATATTTTGTAAAATAACATTTTTTGAATGACAATTTATAATTAAACTAATTTGTTATCATAATTTATAATTATTTATATTATAAGATATTTATTTTCACTAATACATTTTTAATTATCTACTAATTATACCCCTTCTAAAATATCGTATCTACAATGTAGCAGACACTGTATATGGGACGGAGGGGGAAGGAGTATATAATTAACTAATTGTTACGTACGAAATTTAGAATTAGGTTAAAAGCCCAAGGTAAAAAGAAGAATGGGCCTGGCAATAGAGTTGATTGAACTAGCTCAAGGAAAATAGGTTTATTTCTAAGGAAAGTCCTCAGGACGGAAGGACCTCAGGTCGGTAGGTCCTCAAGACGGAAAGACCTCAGGTCGGAAGGTCTTCAGGTCGGTAGGTCCTCAAGACGGAAAGACCTCAGGTCGGAAGGTCTTCAGGTCGGGAGGTCCTCAAGACGGAAAGTCATCAGGACGGAAGGACCTCAGGTCGGTAGGTCCTCAAGACGGAAAGACCTCAGGTCGGAAGGTTTTCAGGTCGGGAGGTCCTCAAGACGGAAAGTCATCAGGACGGAAGGACCTCAGGTCGGTAGGTCCTCAAGACGGAAAGACCTCAGGTCGGAAGGTCTTCAGGTCGGGCGGTCCTCAAGACGGAAAGTCATCAGGACGGAAGGACTTTAGGTCGGTAGGTCCTCAAGACGGAAAGACCTCAGGTCGGAAGGTCTTCAGGTCGGGAGGTCCTCAAGACGAAAAGTCATCAGGACGGGAAGTCCGCAGGTCGGGAGGCCCTCAGGACGGGAAATCCGCAGGTCGGGAGGCCTTCAGGACGGGAAGTTCTCAAGTCGGAACTCTGCGGCAGGACCAACAAATCGGATGGTTTGTTAGTCGGGATGTCTGTAGCTACTCCAAATAAGTCAGATGGTTTGCAAGTCGGGAGGATTGGCAGTCGGACCAATGCGGTTGTAGATTGGCAGTCGGGCCAAAAGGGCGGAAGGTCTATGGTCGGCTCAAAGAGTGGAATATAGGGATAATTTTGGTCTGCTGAGGACACGTGTCAGCAGGAGAAGGATTGGAAGACGGTTGGGAAGGAGACGTTGTAACCGTTCGGACGACGGTTTTCAGTACAGTTCCCCAGAGAATATTTAAGGATTTGGATCATCATTTGACAAGGTATCTTCAATCAACTTCAACAAAGCAAAGTCAGATTTGGGGATCACCACTTTAAATTTCAGTCTTTTATTTTCCAGTTTATTTTCTGTACCATACAGTGTTTAGAGATTCCTAATCTCAGGCACTAATTAATCAAGTTTAAGGATATTTTCTATATCTTTGAATTTTACTTTATTTTTGTTGAAAAATTACATCAACACTAATAAAATATTATTACTTTATTAAAAATTAATAAGTACTCTAAGGGTGGGTTTGTTTGGAGGTTTGGATTTTGAATTGAAATTTGAATAGTAAAAATTTTGAATTTGAATAGTTGTATGATATGATATAAATAGGTGTTGATGTGATGTTTTGAATATAAAATTAATTTTTAGTATAATATAAAAAATGAAAAATAGGTGTTTGATTTTATATTTTAGAGAAAAAAATAGGATAGAATAGTATATTTAAAATCTAATCCCCAAACAAACACACCCTTAATATACTAGATTTATTTAATCAAATTAAAATTAACAAATTAAAAAATAAAATAAAAATGTAACATGTAAGTTGCTTACTTGTCATTTACAGGCCTTTCCTATAATTATGTACCATTTGTTTATTCTTCAATAAGCGTCGTCTTGTCTTGTTGCTCACCCAATTATTTCCGCCTCCGCCGCCGCCGCCGCCGCCGCCGATCCGCCCATGGTGCTCTTCCCTTCCGCCGACGTGCGCTACTGAAGGAGGCGCACCGCCTGATTCCGCACCTGCACTGGTTTTTCTAACCTCAACTTCATGAACTAGCTTCGTTCCCGCTCCTTAGGGTTTCCTTTCTTATATATGCTTCAATTTCCCGATAGGATTTGGTTTTGTTCAGAAATGGAGAATTACGATCATCAAATGAGTGAAAATATGAATTCCAGAGGCGGCGAAGGTGGTGGTTCTCTGTACGGAAGCTCAGTGCTCGCTCCGGTGAGCGGTTTTCATCTCCAATCCGGTAACTGTTTCGATCAATCCGACGGCCAGCAGCTTCCGATAGTGAAAACTGAGGATGGAAGTTTCCAGAATCGTCTTCTCAGGTTTCACCAACCGTCCACGCTCAGAGGAGATCAGATTGTTCTAGAACATCGCCGGCAACCGGAGAGCGAGAGCGTTGATTCCATAAAAGCGAAAATCGTTGCTCATCCTCAGTATTTCAATCTCCTGGAAGCTTACGCCGATTGTCAAAAGGTTCAAAGTTCAATTTCCTCTAAAGCATATTTCATAATTGGGGAAAAAAAATTAGGGAAATTAACACCGTTTACATGAATTAGGTTGGAGCCCCGCCTGAGGTGATAGCGCGGCTGTCGTCGGTCCGGCGAGAGGTCGAGGCGAGTCAGCGAGCGACGGCGAGGAGCGACGACGATCCGAAGGATCCAGAACTCGATCAATTCATGGTACAGTACATTTAACTACTCCATAGAAACAGCGATTTGCGATCTGTAATTCCAATCTCATCCAGGAAGTCTACTGCAATATGCTGGTGAAGTATCACGACGAACTGTCGAGGCCTTTCCAGGAAGCCATGGAATTCATGCGACGAGTAGAAACGCAGCTCGGCACACTCACCAATGGTGGTGTAGGAATCTTCAATTCTGGTAAACTAACGCTGTTCTTCCCCAACTTTAATTTCGTTTTCGATTTCAAATCACTGATCACAAAATCCGAAGAACAATCACAATCAGTAATCGTGTTTGAAATTAGTACCAAGTTAAGTAGATTCGGATATCTGCAGTGCAGAGGTGATTGCCTAATAGTTCAATTTGGGGATTTAGGGTTGAAGTGTGGGGGGTAACCTCTTGTCTGTGGGTACCCCCAACTGCAGCACTTCATTCAATATTGTCTGTTTGTTTTGCTATTTCCCAGTGAACAGAAACATTGACCCATGATTGCATCGTTTTCCAATGTCTCCTTAATTCCATTAAAGATTAAAACCCTAATTTCACGAGTGCACAGTGGAAGAAGATACATACATATATACATATATATGTATATGTGTGTATAATTTGGTTCCATTATGCTAACTGCTGTAATTTGGATATAGTTAATTAGCTCAGCCCCATTTTCTGTTAGAAGAACATTTATGTAGTTTATCACATTAACTTTAAGCTTTCTTCACAACTTGTCAATTCTTCTTGCTGAATCATATACATATATATATATATATATATACACATGTGCTTTTGGTAATTTAGTTGAATCTAGGAATGATGGATGTTGGCTTACCTTAAAATATATGTGTATATATATATATATTCATAGTTTTATGTGGAGAGAACAGTACATTTTGCAACTTTGGCATTGGAAAAATGGGAAACATAGGATGCTGTCGTGTATATAATATGTGTGTATATATATATATATCTTTGAGCCACCCCACTTAGCTTGTACCTTATTGTTAGTTTTCTCTTATTATTATTTGTTTCTTTTTGTTCTTTCACACACACACACACGACTGCTTTCCCAATTTCCCATGGTTTACTATTTGTTTTCAATGCTAATGTTTTTGTATTACCCTTTAGTAGAAGTTTTGGAGATTTGTAAATTAAAAAGAAAGTTGGGTGTGTTTGTTTGGCGGTTTGAATTTTGAGTTGAGATTTGAATAGTAAAATTTTGAATTTGAGTAGTTGTATGATGTGATATAAATAGGTGTTGATGTGATATTTTGAATGTAAAATTGATTTTTAGTATAATATAAAAAATAAAAATAGTTATATCTAATCCAATCCCCCAAACAAACACACCCTAAGTATTTAATATGATACTTTTTAAGAAAAAAAAAAATGTATTTAATGTTGTGTTTTTAAATATAGCTCATGCCGTCGAGGATCGACAATTTTCTGAATTCTTGATTGGTGTTATTTGATAAAAATAAGCACGTCGTGTGCTCTTAATTCTTGTCCTGTATTTAAAAACTATTAATGGAAATAATGTACTATTTAGATTATTGGTCGGTGTTTTCAGAACTCTTGATCGATATAATTTATGTGTTATAGGCCTATTGCATTAGTGAATTTGAACTTGGAACGTCGTATATATGATTGATGCACAATTAATTGTTTGTCACAATTGAACAAATGATAGAGGAGAAGCTGGATCATGGCAATGGCAACTCCTCGGAAGAAGACCAAGACCAAGACAACGACCATGACCACGACAAGGGCCTTCCTTGCGGGCAAATGATAGATCCGCGCGCAGAAGACCGCGAGCTGAAGAACCACCTGCTGAAGAAGTACAGCGGATACTTAACCACCCTCAAGCAGGAGCTCTCCAAGAAGAAGAAGAAAGGCAAACTCCCCAAAGACGCCCGCCAAAAGCTCCTCGCCTGGTGGGAACTACACAACAAATGGCCATATCCTTCGGTATATACTCTCTATATATACATACATACATACATACTTTTTATTGATTTCGCATGGAAAATAATTGATAATATTCTCAGGAATCAGAGAAGCTGGCGTTGGCGGAGTCGACTGGTCTGGACCAGAAACAGATAAACAACTGGTTCATCAACCAAAGGAAACGCCACTGGAAGCCGTCGGAGGACATGCAATTTATGGTGCTCGATGCCCAAAATGCTGCCGCGTACGGCCATTTCGGGCCTTACCGGCTTGCGCCGTGACTTATCGATCGATGTGATCGTCGACGAATGTCATGTGCTGCATCTGCTGGCTGGCTGCTCATATATATATATATATGTTTATGAAGGTATCAGGTATGCGTAATGTTGGAAGTTAATTTAGGCAGTTCTAAAATTAAATCAATATTTTTATATAATTAGCTAAGCCTGCTGGAATAGAAATGAATTAATGATGTAGTTAAGAATGATCATCGTTATCATATCCATATATATATATATATATCTATCATGTAGATTTATGGATGTAAATTGTGATGGCTTTTTAAGATTTAAAACTTTTTCTTGCTTTATAAATCATTCAATTATTTTCTATACATTATTTATTTATTTAGGATGATTTTAGAGGAAGAATTTTAATTGGATGGACCAAATTAAATGTTACATGGCATAAAAAGGCCAGACGGTGGATTGAGGATATATGCATGAAGCCCAACTAGGGTAACTAACTTTCAAATTTGGTCCTAGATGGAAGACAACTAGGGATTAGGACACAATTTGATTATTTCAATATTTGACATTTGAATTGGATTATAACAAATACTACTGTGAATCATATACGGTTAATCAAAGCATTTCCAATGATTTAAACCGAATCAAAGATAAAAATAACTAAAATTATAATTAAATAAAAATATTTATAAATTTCAAATAAAGATTAAATATAATATAATTATTAATATAAAATTAATAATATAATAATATAAATATATAAATAAACGGTTCTATTTATCGGAACAATATAAAAAATTAAAATTGAATCAAACCATTCCAAATAAATATCAAACATATACTTCCTCATTCCAACTAGAAAGTATACATATTTTTATTTTTGGACGTCCAATTACAAAGTAAACATAATATTTAAATACTTCACTTTTTTTTTTTTTCCACAAATACACATATTTTACATCACATTAATGTTATTGCATTATTTTTAACTGTCTACTATAATTAAAATATTATTATTTTTTAAACATCGCGCCAAAAATAATTGTATACTTTATTTGTGTACGGAGGGGATTGTATTTGTAATCAAATCCAATTCGTTTGATTAACAAAAATTCGATTCAATTTGACATTTTTCATGAAAATTGCTCGAGCTGGTTCAAGCGTATGGACAACTCAACAAATAAAAGTTTTTTTTTTTTTTTTTTAATTTTTTTTTTTATTCAACAACAGTTTTTATTCTAACTTAAGAAAAAAATATTTTCTTTTTGTATGTGCATGAAAGACAAAAATGATCAAAATTAGCTTATATATTTTTCACAAATAACTAAGTATTATTATTTTTTAATTTACGAAAACTTAACATAACTAATTAATTAATCTGTCATATAAATACAATACAACCAAATAAAAATACAACACTACTACTCAAACAGCAATTAGTCCTAATTAATTAATACCCATTAGAAAATCATGATTATCCTCCACCAGGGCCCTGATTCTGTCGACGGCGAGTAGCATAGTCTCCTCCGACGTATTGGCAAAGCAGACGCGAAACCACCCCGGCTCCGTACAATGGCAAGAAGATCCCGGCGACACATTCACGCCGTATTCGTATATCATCTTCTTCCACAAATCCATCTCCGCCTCGAAAGTCGCCGCCGGCAACACCCGCCGGAGATCCACCCAGCAGAACAGCCCGGCGTTGCTGCTCAGGCACCTCACCCCCGACCGGCCCAGCCCCGCCGCCAGCGCCGCCCGCCGCCGCTTCAAGCGCCGCCGATTCTCCGCCGCGTACCGCCGGAGGAACCTGCTGTCGGCGAGAATCCTCGACAGCAGGAACTGCGACTGCGACGAGATCAGGCCGAAGCTCGACATTTTGGTGGCGGCGTCGACGACGGCGGCGTTGCGCGAGTAAATCAGGCCCAGCCGGAACCCCGGCAGGCCGAGATCCTTCGACAGGCTGGAGACGACGTGCACGCGCCGCCAGATCGCGGAATCGCCGCCGGGAGACGCCCTGGCGACGGCTTCCAGGGTGCTGACGAATCTCGGGGAGTCGAATACCGTGCCAGCGTAGATCTCGTCGCTGACGATGTGGATTCCGGCGCCAGAGGAGAATTTTATGATCAGGTCCAGCTCGTCTTCCGACAGGGTCGTCCCCAATGGGTTCGACGGGTTTGTAAGAAACAGGCCCTTCACTTTCAGGCCGAGTTTACGGGCCACATCCGCGGCGTCCTCCAGGGCCCGGCCCGTGATTCGGAAGCCGTTTTCGCTTGAGGTTTGGACGGGTATGATTTCGACACCTGTCCTCCATCGGAGGTCCCTGTCCAGCCTGGACGACCATAAAACGACATCGCATTAAAAAATAAATTAATTATTAAATTTAATGTATTAAAAATATTCTATCATTTACATAATCTAACAATATATATATTTTAAGGTACCCACCCAGGGTAATAAGGGGTGGGGATTAAGAAGGCGTCGCCGGGGCCAGCGAGGCAGAACATTAGGATTTCATTAGCCGCGGTTGCGCCAGCTGTCAGGACGAGGTTGTCGGAGTCGATGATGACCCTCTTTTGTCTTATTTCCGACATGTACTTGGCTACTTCCTGCCATAAATGTAAATGTCATCCAAATTTATTCTCATTTTCTTTGTATTATTAATATTTATATATATATATTATTAGAAAATGTATAATACATATTTGTATTGAGGGAGGCCATGGTAGTCCTGAAAAAGAGCGAGATCCCGGAAACTGGAGGCTCCGACAGTCCCGAACCAGTTATTTTCCTGGTTTTTTCTAATCCATGATTCCATCTTGTCGAAGCACACCTGCATTTGCTCATACATATATATATATATATATATTCTAATATTAATTAATTAATATTTATTTTATCTATCATCAAAATTTGTTCTCATTCCTTTTATATTGTAATATTAATATAGGTATTATTACATAAGTACCTGATTTTCAGCGAGGCCGAGCTGAATAATGCCCGAAGGATTGGCTCGGGGGTCGTAGGGGTTCTTCTCGTACTCTTGCCATCCGATGAAGTAAGAAGACTCCTGGCCGTGTGACTTGCACGTGACTTTCTTCGACAGCATTATATTATATTATATTATATTTCTTAATTAATTAATTCTCATATATAAAACAGCCCAACCGAACTGAGGATCGATCTCTAGTCTTGTAACTTAAAATAAGAAGTTTTGTCTGCAGTGGAAATGTTGTGAAAGGGTAAGGTTGTATTTATAGAGGCAGGGCAACCAATAGGAGGGCTTGAGGTGACCTACCTCTCTTTATTTAATTTTTTATTATATAATTATCATAATTTTATATAATATTTTTTATATTTAACTATTACTATTTAAATTAAAAATAGAACATATATTTGTGTTAAATAAAAAAATTGTTGTGTGAATTATATATTATGTTGTGCTGCATAATCTATTTATTGTGCTGTATTTGTTATTATATAATATTACATATTATATTAATATCTGCTACTTTCTTTATAATACGTGCTGATTGAGTCAAATCATAGTATTGATTTAACACTGTACTGTCGAATTAACATGTGGTTATTTGATGTAATAATGAAAACAATATATCCACAATGGTAATGAAAATTTATCCATCTTATTTTTATTTTTATTTTTATTTATTTATGTTTTGGGATATATAACAAATCTTTCATATAATTCTCTGCTGCTCTTTCTGGCGACAGAAGTTAGATAGAAATAAACACATAAATAAATAAATACATATTTGTAGTATATAAATAAATATCTTTATTCACTTCCATGCATGCATGTTTAACTAACATGCAACTTATATCCCACCTCGTAACATGGAATCTTCTTTTTTTTTTTTTTTAAACGTGAAAATATTCATTGTGTGTGCCAATAATACAATACCCAAAAAAAAAAAAAAGAAAGAAAAAAAAATGATGAACTAGAGGATGTGAAAACACATTATTGGACTGTAAATAAATAATATATATATATATATATATCTACACACACATTATATGCTTTTCTTTTTATAGCAACAATATGAAAATCTCAGACTTTAGGGAACACAAAAGTAAGTGTAAATAATATGCTACTTTTGCCGACCATCAAGATCAGAACAATATGTGTAAGAGCAGACTCCCACCCCCCCACCCCCTGAATAGAGCTGTTAAAATGTGGGGTCACCTCGAGTATTGGTTGTTTGAGTTCGACTCGAACTTGTTAACGTTACAAGCTTGATTCGGCTCGTTAAAAAGTCGTCGGCTCGTTAGGTTCAAATTCAAGCTCGAGCTCGGCTCATAAGGCTCGATCTCGAACTCGATTTGAATTTTATACATATTATGTATATTTTTTAATACTTCATTCGTTCCGGAACTAAATATCCATTTATTTTTTGCGCGTAGATTTTTAGAAATATTAGTATTATATTGGAATATAGTAGGAATAAAGTAAAAACGACTAAAATAACCTTATTAGTACGTGTGATATAAAGGTAATGATATTTGTGTAATATATATATTGTAAGTTGTAAGGGTATTTGTAATGTTAAGTAGATAGTACAGTTACTTAAAAAAAAAATGGATACTTTGTTACGAGACGGACTAAAATGAAAAAATGAATACTTTGTTATGGGACGGAGAGAGTATATAAATTAAATATATTTAATTTTATTCATAATTTATTTATAATAAAATATTTAAATTTTAATAATAAATATAAATTTTGATATAAAAAATTATATATATCATATTAATATATAAATAATATAAATATATTATCACTAACGAGCTTAAGTGAACTATTCGTAAGCGGAGCTTGAGCTGAGCTCGTTAGTAAAAAAATAATTTTCGAGCTCGAGTTCGGCTCATTTATCTCTATAAACAAGCCGAATCAAGTTGTTAACGAACCGAATCGAATTTGACTCGCTACCTACTCGATTTGTTTAAGAGCTCTACCTCGTCTCCCTCCACCCCTACCCCACCCCATTCTTATTCACACACCACAGCGAAGAACAAAGGACGCAAATAAGAGGGCTTCAGAGGCTGCCACGTGGCGTATTTACTGATGGTCAACAAGATCTGATAATCTGTCTGTCAATTTTGACTTTGGGCATTTTTACACTGCATTTCTACCGCTCAATAAATTTATTTATTTATTATTTATCCAAAAATATTTACTGCTGCTTTGAAAATGTAACAAGCACAGCACAGCACAGCAGAGCAACGGCATCTCGGAGGAAGAAGAAATCAAGAGTCAACTCATGTAAACAATCTTTTTCACACTACACCCTCAACAATTAAGAAAAAAAAAAACCACCGGTGGCGATCTATGACTTGTCTGATCGAGCCTAATTTGCAAAGTATTAAATTCGACCGAAAATTTTACACAATGTGTATTTTCAAATAGCTGCTGCGAAATTTTACTGTCATAAAAAAAAATTACCCAACCCCAACAAGTATATATATATATACTACATTCATCCGACAACAAAAAAAATACTATTTCCTTTTTGCAAGTAGCTTTTTAAATATTAGTATTATATTAATTTGTAGTAAAAAGGACAAAAAAATGCTCAAAAGTAATAACACTTGTGTATTATATTATAAGCCGTAACGGTATTTATTATATTAGACGGACAATACAATCACAATAAATGATACCTTTTATTTTGAAACGGACAAATATAAAAAATAATATCCTTATTATATGTCCGAGGTAGTATATATATTTCTTATTAAAAACATTAGTCATATATTGTCACACTTCACTTAAAAACATTAGTCATATATGTATTCATTTGTAATTCAGCTTAAAAAATAATACTAACATTTTATTCATTAAAAAAATAAAATAAAATAAAATAATTTTGATATTTTTACAATTACAAATACAGAAAAAAGAATATTTTTTTTATAAAAATGAGAAGTATTTTAATATTTTAATATGAATTATTTTTATATCATAGACAAAAAGTGCTTTTAAATAAAAAAGATGAAAACAGTTTAAAAAATATATATTTAATTGGAACGGAAAAAATATTGAATAATAATAATAATAATAAAAAAAACCCTAAAACTTCCAAAACCCTACTAAACATAGCCTAAAATCACAAGACAACAAAAGTTATCTGAATTTCATCCAGTCACACAAACACAGCATCATCCTCCAATTCTTGCAAATTTAAATCAAAACAACAAACTGATTGGATTAAAGAGGGTAAGGTAAAATGACAAACTCACTAATGATCGATGTACACTAAAAGTGCAGATAACACATACCACAAGAACATATGAAACCAAATTGAGGGAGACAACCTCAAATTATTCATCCAAATAGAAAGTGAAAACTGAGTCAAAACTGTTGTGTACTTAAGATAACATAACACAACATGGTGGCCATAGTTCCAACCACCAAAAACAGCCAAACAACAAAAGTTGGGGTGATGTGAAATGTTCTCGAAAAATCCCTCGAAGATAACCCAACCATTTTCGAAAGATATAACACATATATCATCATCAGTCCATCACAACATTGTGGATAACATAACATTACTTAGCTAGGTACAAACTGATCCATCCATCCCACCATGTGAAACCAATGAATGCAACAAGAAAGATAATAAAACTTAAAATTAAAATTAAAATGAACAAGCTATAGATGCAAAAACAGGGCCAGCAAAGAACCTGACTCAGTGAGTGTATTTTCATATTCCATTTCGAAGGGGGTGGTGGGGGGAGCTTTATTACAACCTAGATATAAAAGGGAATTGGCACCCATTATTGGTTAAGACTTTGAATAATCCATCAATCCATCTCTTTTCATGGTTTTTCTACCCTAGTCCAGCAAGTTCTATTGTCAATTTCTATCGCTACATTCCCATCTAACAAGCTATCGATACTGTTCTAGAATTGCCATATAATGCAGAGCTGTCGGGAGGCCACATGATCAATCTCACTTTTTTAGCTAGAGGGAAATCAGAATTTTCTTGACTTTAGAAACTACAACTGTAGTTGTTCTAACACAACTTCTATAAACGGCATAGTTAACATAGGTAGGCACAAATCTAAAGAACAGATTCTTTATAAGCAATGGCCGGTGCCTAATTGGTACTGTTTCCGATTCAATGTGGTTATAAACTTGCAATGAATTATCCAGCATATAACGAGCATGTAGGAATGAAAATTTAACTTTCATTGTACGAGGAGGTATACCAGACACGGGGTTTGGGAAAATTTAACTTTATAATGATGGTCGGAGAGAAACCCCATTGACAGCGTCTTTACTCGATGCTTCCTGTAGATATTTTCTGCTAAGTATGCTGTCAAGGAGTTTAATCAGTTTGGTAAAAGAATACAGAGGAGCTCTACTTTTTTATGCAACTTTCCCACACATTTTTTAATAAAAGAATACTCCGGATTTCAAGAATCTTTCTCAACGATTTTATTAAGGATTTCGGCTATGTATACCATATACTTGATGTATGAAGCTGATTTCAGTCTTTGATCCAAGATGTGTTGAAGAGTTTGATTTCTTGATGGTTTGTTTGGACATCAATTGTAAGACTTCAGGTGAAATATTTGGCAGTTTGAATTGTACGAAGCCTTCTCCGAAGCCCGTTCGAATTTCTTTACAACAGCTTCATTTTCCTCTAAGCTTTTCTGAAGAAAAAATCTAACCCACCATGCTGTGCTCCTTAATTTCGCCTGTAACAAAACATAGGAAAAAATGCATCTTATTTTTCACAAATGATAGCACTTGACAAGAAAAAACACTCTGCTAAAGCTAGTATGATATATTAAACAAAATCGAATGGCAAAATTTGAAAATTGTAATTGAACAATGATAACCAGCCGATTTGTGGAGTTCCTAGTTCAATCATGTTTGTTATCATTAAGTTAATTTCTCCCCCTTTATTTTGGAACTTTTCTATCTGCACGGTATTGAGGATAGATTCTCGACACTCTTGACAGTAAAGGATAATAAAAAGGGAGAAGTATCTCATTAATAGATGACTTACTGAGCTTCCATATTTGGCTTTATCGCCAGATTTAGCTTTATGGTGGCGTGGGTATCCTACAAAAATACATTGACGATCACTATAATATATATATATATACACAGATACACAGTGATACATGTATCTAAGTTGTTAGCAGATAATCAGCATAATTCACACAAATTAACATTTTCTGATCCAAGAGAGCACATCCAATAGCATCTAAAGAATATAACTCAACTCAGAAAATTGGATGTTTACCGGAGAAGATGATAAGACCATCAGACGATAACCTTGCCAACTCAGGAAGGGTCCGGTTAAGATACTTTGGTGACAAGTAATCCAAAGCATCGGATATTATCACAAGAGAGAACGATTTTGAACGGTAGGGGAGTGGAAATTTAATGTTAGCTACACGAACAAGGCCCCTGTGCACCAATCTCTTGCATCTACGATTGGCATCCTCTATATCATATGGTTCGACGCCCCAAGCTTCAGTGTCATCCTCTTTTATCAATTTGGAAATAATGGAACAGGTGTCTGGACCGACATGTAATACTTTTCGCATGCTATCACCGTATGCTTTTTTCAGAAGAGGAACTACGCGTTCGACTTCTGCAGTACATGAAAAATCCCCTGCATAAAGAACATAGCCCGAGATCTATTCAAATGATGTTGAGTAAAACTCATCAGTTACTGATAAGGATATACCGACAAATGCTGCTATGCGTTTCGACAGTTAACACTTTGTACACTGTTAAATGACCACCAAACATAAAAATTTAAGCTTTTGTAGGAATATGCATCATTAATTTACATATTATATATCAACTGACATATGACAAATCAAGCGAACCAAACCAAAACAAGTTAAACTTCAAGGAAAAGTTCTGAACAAGTGTATCCCTCAAATATACAGAACCTACTAACGCAACCTGTTAATATGTTTTGAATCTAATTTGGCACTTAGCTGAGTTTTATTGGGCTTTTGAGCTCGTTTTGGGTTGAACCCGTTTGATATATTTTCTTAGTTTATTTAAACAAACTTAGAGATATGTAATCTGTATAAAAAATTGGTGGTATCTGTAATATGTAACCTAACTGTTCTCAATAAATTTGTTTTACATTTCTGCCCGTGAACGTAGCCAACACATTGTTGGTGAAACATGTAAATTCTTTACGTTTCTGTTTGTTATCCGATCATTAATCCTAATCTGTTACAACACAACCAATTGCCTCGATTTTACAATGCATAACGGATGCACCATATCGAAACAGTCCTACCCGTGCACAAGTTGCAGCAAATCTTAGGTAATTCAATTAATAAGGAACATGATAAACTAAAATTTTAAGAGCTAGCAAGCAAGAAAACATGATTACCTTCCACATGAACCCCAGCTTTAAGATTTCCAGTCGTACCTATCCCGAGAACCGTTGCCAGTTAGTCACAGAATATGAAATCATATCATTCCAATATAAGCATCCTACAAATAACACGAGGTGCATCGAGAACGGAAACAGGCATTTACAGAAACTCATCAGTGTTTATGTAGCCCACTCAATCTATCGTTATGCTATCAATTCGACTATCTGTCAATTATCAATTACCCAAGCATTCCATGGCAATCAAGCAGCCTGATTAGAAATGTTGCTAAAGAATTTAAAATCAGAAACAGAAGTGATGTAGTTTTGACACCAATCCAAATTATGGACAGCTTCATATAAGCATACATTCTCACTAATCAGAAAATCGAAATTCTAAACAGTATAGTTTAAGGCAAATTCACCTTCCACACTGAACACATCACTCAAAATTAAACTAAAACCTAAATTACACGATAGGTCTAAAACTAAAACACACAGTTTGTATAATACCTCGTCCCTGATAAAGGTAAGCAACGAGGAGCATCGACCCCTGCAAAACGTACAAAAGTGTATCACAATCTCCACATTCCGACGTAAACAAATCAAGACCACGGAATGAATATAAATCACAACCAGAAAAATCAATGCAATGGTTAGCTGCGACGTCGGATGGGATCTCGAATGAACGGCAGGTGAGTGCGGAGCTTCGTCACTTTCCGATACTCTTCGGGCAGGATTTACTGGCCTTCTTGTCGCCATTATTCCCAAGTTACTTACAGCGCCAAGAAGTAAATGAACTCACAAATTGCCTAAACCCTACTCCCCAATTTGGGAAAATTAACGGAAACGAGCTCCGATTCCTGCTTGGAGGTGAATCTTGTGAGTGAATTTTCCCCCAACAAGGAAGCGAACAGTCAGGGACAGCTGGAACTGTTTATTTTATTTTATTTATTTATTTTGTTAAAAAAAAAAAAGAAAAAGAAAATTGAAATCGAGTGATTGGCGCGTTGAGTCGGCGGAAGATCAAACTGTCGTCAACGGACCTGGCTCTCGGGACCTTATGGATTGCAAGGTCCCGGGAGCTCAGCTCTCTGAATAACAATCATCAAATCTTCTTGGGCCTCACGATTTTTGTAAACGTTGAGGATTGTGACGTGTATTAAATGGGCCGTTGAGCCCATTACAGATCCATAAGCCCAATAAATTTATTTCCTCTTAACAATAATTAATATTTTTATCTTTTGTTTCATTCAATATAGTATATATATATACTAATATTTTACTATTTAAAAGATAAATCTATTGAGATTCAATTAAAATTTTACACATACTAAAAAATTCAAAATTCAAATAACACTGGTGCGTTTGGTTACCGAGTTTTAATTTAAAAATTGAATTAAAATGAATTTATTAAATTAATATTTAATTTATGATATAATAATTATGATTAAAAATATTTTAAGAAAAAATGTATTTAAACAAACAACACAATCGTTACTTATTTTATAGTGAGGGAAATTTTATGAGGCAGTGTATTCAGAATATAATTAAAATTTAAAAATTCAAAATTCAACATCGTTGAAAATGGAAGTATGTCATTTGTTATGGGACAAACTAAAATAAAAATTGTATAATTTGTTATGAGATGAAAATACTACAAGTTAAATATTTTTGATAGTTGAAACTTTCTTTTCTTTTTTTAATTATTATTAATTTAAAATGATTTGATATGTTCCAACTTTATTTGAAGGTTAAATTTTATTAGTACATCATTTTTAGATTTTGTATAATTCTACTTTATATTGTAATTTTATCCACATGCTCAACTTTTTGTAAAATATAAAAATTATGTAAATAATATAAAAATCATGAATGTGTATAAATATTAAAATATTATAGGCGTAACTTGATCAAAATCATACACTTTTTAAAATTGTTATTTATAATAAAATATATATTAAAAAATTTATGTAATCATAAATAATACATAGAATGATTTGCATGTTGTGTAGTTGTGAAGTCGTTAAGGCACTAAATATTTTGTACCATTTTTTTTTGTTATTTATCTATTTTTTTGGCCGTATTAAATAGCCGTCATTTTTTTTTAAATATCCGCATCTATCGAATTTTTATTATTGTCGTATTCGATAATTAAATAATAAATATTAAATATCGCACTTATAAATTGATTAAGATTTTATAAATTTCTAAACCTCTTTCATAATTATTAAACATCATCTTTCAAATATTTATGGATTTGATCCTATATTTTTTCGTACACGCTCATCAATAATATAATATTTTCTGTCTACAAAACATAACATCAAATTAATATTTAAACAATTGTAATAATAAATGAATACTGAGATAGAAAAAAATGGTAAAAAAAATATTTTCAATTGACATGGATAAAGTACAGAGAATGACCATTATGCAATAGTAAAACTCTTAGCATCTACAATTCATGAGATTAAATTCACTAATAACTGTCTTATGTGATGTTTATTTTCATGCTTACTAATTTTTATTTTTTATTTTAACTAAAAAAACGATATTGAGTTCATTATATTTTGAATTAAATAAATTGTTGTATGATAGTAAACAAAAAATGACGTGTTTGATTGTAGGTTTTTGAAAGTTAAGTTTTGGGTGTTAGATACATAAAATTTTGAATTAGAATAATTCTTTAATGTATGATATAAATAAATATTGTAAATATAAATAAATTTTAAGTGTAGTGTAAAAAATAAAAATAGATATTTGATACTCTTTCCGTCTCATTAAAATGTTACCATTTTTTATTTTCGTCTGTCCCAAAACAAGGTAATCATTTCCTAATTTAGTAATTGTACTATCTACTTCACATAATAAATACCCCCTCAACTTACAATATATTACACAAATATCATTACATTTATATTACACCATACTAATAGGGGTATTTTTGTCTTTTTCTACTACAATTCAATATAATACTAATATTAAAAAATCTACCTGTAAAAAGCAAACGCACCCTTGTTGCGGGACGGAGGGAGTATAATATTTTTTAAAAGAATTATTATATGAATAGGAAAAATCACAAATCTAAAATTTATGAAATTTGGTCAAATATTGTGATAACAAGATAAGAATAAAATTGCTGAAATTTAATTTTCTTTTACAAGTTAGTAAATCAGATATACTTTATTATCTTAAAAAATCTCAATTCAATTATACAAAATCTGTAATAAACAGTAAAATGTAAAGTGCATTTTATGATTATAAATATGCAGGTCTGTGTGAACTGTAAATCAATAAAATTGTTTTCTAATTTTCTTGTATACAATAGTCATTGGTAGGTAATATGAAAATTTTAGTTTTTTCTATTGTTCTTGATTTCCTGAAAAGTATATATATAAGTTTACACTGCAAATATATATTAATTATATTATTGTTTATAATTACACAGGATTTCAGTTTTCTTATTTAAAATATGAATAACGAAGTGGGAAGAGGTAATTTTTTTTTTTCTTTCAATATGTTTTTCTAGAATTCCATTATTATTATTTTTAAAAATTTATTATAAAATCTAGTTTTTTACACATGAAGACTATTGTAATATATATATATATATTTGTGTTATTTAAAACATAATTTTCACTGTAACAGGAGTACAAGAAATCACGGAGGATCAACAAGTAAGTTGTAACTTATTAAATAATAGAATTTTATATTTGTTTACAAATATAAATGGATAATATATTTTACTTTAATTACAGATTATAGAAGACCAGCCGACAGATTATGAATTGCCAGAGTAAGGATAATTGATTAAATTTATTATTTTTTGGTAGCACAAAATATTAATATATCAATATGCACAGACATATCAAAGTATAATTATTTAACAAAGCTTTTTTTTTTTTTTTTTAAAATAGGATAATTCAAGTACCTTTCGCATTACCTCAAGAGGATACAAAGCCGCATGACCAACCGGTACAGGTGGTACAACCACCGCAAGTACTTGAACCTGTGCAGCCTCGAGAACCAGCACAACGTAGTCAACCCTACCGGTGAGCCGATAATGACCCAACAGTTTTACGGGAGATACGGGAAGAGAAACGACGGAGGAGAAGAACATAAAATGAATTATTGTGAACTATTTCGTATACAGTTAGTTATATGTGTTTCAAATAAAATATTCTCGATTTTATGATATTTAAATCATATTTGATATAGTCTTTTGTATAATTAATATTCCGTGAGTTTTTAAAATTATTTTGTAATACCATTAAATAAACATAGATATAATATATAAGAGTATATAAAGATGTGTATTGTTGTGAATTTATATTCGGATTGATAGAATTTTTTCGATCAATACATCGTAAATAAAATACTAATTAATTAAAAGAAACAAAATATCCAATAAAGTACAAATAAATAATATCGAATTGAAATCGAAATTAAACAATGAATAGTAAAATTAAAGCTAAAATCATTTCTGAAAATTAAATTAAAGAGAAACATAAACAAACAGCCCTTTTAATTGAAACACTAGGCAAGGAGTCTTCTCCGGACAGCAGCAATGGTCGACGGCAGCTCCGCTCCGGCAATCTCCGGTGTCCGATCAGCTCCGGCAGCGCTTTAATTTCCTCTATTTCTTGCGTATCCAAGCGGATGGATTCTCCAAACATGATAATAATGATAATAATAATAATAATCTAATTGTAATTTATTTTTGTATTTTTGAATAATATATAATATTTCAAGTTCATTTTATTTTTTTATTTTTAGTATTTATGAATATTTCCAGTTATTTTATATGTTTGTAAAATCAAAATCATTTATGATCAAATCACTCAATATATTGTAATTTAGTTTCAATTTCTTAGGTTTTATTATTTAGCAAGATAAAAATATACTTCTTCCATCCGCAATATTTAGCCCACTTGGGTTTGACATGATTAAGAAAAATAAATATTTTATTAAAAAAATTGAGAAAAAAGTAAAAAATTTAGTTGATAATATTTTTGAAATTTAATTAGTAATTAAAAATGATGAAAAAAAGAGAATCTAATAAAGTTGATATTAAATATGTGATTGAATAAAAATAATAATTAAATATTGAATTTTTGAAATTTTCAAATGTAATAATTAGATAAATTTAATACTAAAAAGAAAAATAAGAATAAATGGAGAGAGTACTTACTAAAAAAAACATTGGGTTTGTTTGTTTTGTAATTTTTTTTTCCGCTGTCCTTTATTTATTTATTTTAGCGTATTAAATATCTGTCATTTTTTTTAATCTGCACATCTATCAAATTTACATTATTACTGCATTCGACAATTAAATAATAAATATTAAATATTGCATGTGTAATTTGATCAAGATCGTATAATTTTCCAAACTGTTTTTATAATTATCAAAAAGTTATATTTCAAATATTTATGGGTTTGATCGTATACCTTTTTTCATACACATTTTTTTTCTATTTATTTAATCCCCCCATTTACCAATTTTTATTATTATTGTTATATTCGACAATTAAATAATAAATATTAAATATTGCACTTGCAACTTGATCAAAATCGTATAATTTTCTAAACCTTTTTTATAATTATCAAAAAGTTATCTTTCAAATATTTGTGGGTTTGATCATATATTCTTTTCTACACGCTCATTTTATTTTTTTAATCTCCACATCTACCAAATTTTTATTATTGTTATATTCGACAATAAATAATGAATATTAAATATTACACGTGTAACTTGATAACGTCGTATACTTTTTTTTAGTTGTTATTTATAATAAAAAAATACATTAAAAAATTTATGTAATCATAAATAATACATAGAATGATTTGCATGTTGTGTAGTTGTGAAGTCGTTAATGTACTAAATATTTTGTACCATATTTTTTTGTTGTCAT